ATCCCAGTACTAGAACGGACAGGTAACTTTTGCTTCTTTTTTGTTTTTCCATAATATCTAAGTTTTCTTTAAAAAAAAATGACCCATCACTCATGCGGTTTAAAAAAATAACAGTAACTTTTTAAACTGATGGTGTGAACTGTTTGGGGAACATCTGAGCAGGGCGTCCCAGCAAGCTGGGATGGTGCTGTGCTGATCCGTCTCCTTTCCTCCCCACTCTGCTGGCCCCATCCCGCCCCGAGGTCCCATTGACCCCAGCGAATTTTGAAGCATGTGGCGCCCCACAGTACCTGTGTCCATCTCTGTGTTCTCAGCACACAGGATGGAGAACGCAGACTGTACCAGCTGCAGCCAGAGCACTTCCCAGGCTGAGGCCCCAAGGCAAGTATTGCGCTTCTGGATCCTGACACTGGAGTGCAGGCACCCCTGGGTCACTGGGCAGCTTTGCTGACATGTCATTGATTGCTACATCTGGCATGGCCAGCGCAGCCAGAGCTTTGTCACTGCTAATACAGCCTTGTGGGTTTCTGCAGCCTTGTCTCCCAGCCTGCAACCTGCGTGCAGGTGTGTGCAGCCCAGCAGTTTCTGGTATTGCCCTATGGTGCTTTCAGTATTGTTTGGATTACCTCCTTCACGTAACCAACCACCTGGACATGGTAGGGTAAAGAGCAACCCCACCAAGGATTGTCATCTCTCATGATTCTGGGGCTCGTGGGGTGCATTCCCATGGCTCTCACTCAGGGTTTCTCTGGGACTGTCGCCAGTGAGGGCTGGAACTGTTTCAAAGTCTTCTTCTCAGGTTCACACATCTGATGGCTGCTGCCAGCTGTCAGCTGGGGCCCCACGTGCCGGGGCCACTAAGCCATGTCAGTGACAAGACACTGAGGTCTCTGCCCACTTGGGGCCTCCAGGGTACCAGGTGACAGGCAGCAAGTGAGATGGGCATAATGGTGGTTTTAGTGGGGGTTCCTACACTGTTTCCAAGGTGGGGACGTCCAGCGGCAGGTGGAGCGGACTTGTGGCCCATCTGTAAGACTATCCCTGCCCATCTCAGGCAGCTACCAAGTGGTTCAAAGACTCCAGGGCAGGCACCACAGCATTCATGCTACCCCATCCAACTGGCTACTGTGGATGGAGCCACTTAACGGTCCACAACGCACTGGATAGTGGGGCACATTTAATTTCTCTGTACTTCTCCAGTCCCCACACCTCCCCCAGTCCCAGGTTTGGGGCCTTTGATGCTGGGTGGTGGCAGCCTCGGGTGTCAGGGGCCCTGGGTCCTGAGTTCGGCAGCAGGCTCAACTCACCTAGGGTGGGATCCCTCAGCTCAGGGCTTCTAAAGGGAGAGCTGAGTGGCTGGGAAGACAGAAATGACAAATGCTCCTTGGCTCCTCTGTGATTACACGTCCCTGGCCTTGGGCATGTCAGAATGAGCCCGGAGCCCAGTCCAGGGGGTTCAGAGCAGCATGTCTGGGGGACCCAGCTCCTGGGTGCTGATTACCCCAGGCCAGCATGGCCAGGGTCAGCCTTGGCGTCCTTGTCTGAAACATGGAATGTCACCCACCTTGGTGATTGTGACTGAGCAAGGGTACAAAAGCACACAGCACATCTCCTGGCACATGGAGTGTGTGGGTGTGTATATATAATTGGATATGTGTTTATATGTATTTGTGTATGTGTGCATGTGCATATGTGTGTACACATGTGGAGGCATGTGTGTGTTTATATGTGTGTATGTTGGGCACCCTTGGACATGTGTTTCCTCTCCCCCAACCCTACCCTAGCCTCCGGCTCTGAGCAGTGTGGAGGGGAGGCTGGAACTGGACTGGCCTGCCCTGCACTCACTTTGGCCTTGGACAGGCAGCAGGGAGACCAGTCCTGAGGTAAGCGAGGCTGTGGGCTGTATCCTGTGGCTTCCCAAATCAGATCAGAGGGTCGCCTGACCTTTAGGAAGGTTGCTCTGCAACGAGGACCTTCCTCCACCACGTACTCTGCTCCCTGGAGGATGTCTTTATGCTGAGCCCTGGGCTTCCCAGTCTGGCCGAGCATGGTTCAGCTGCCCTTGCACTAAAACCCTTGGAAGATAAGATGGTCATGGCTAAAGGGCCTCCAGAGGAAAGGCACACCTCCTCCCTTTGAAGGGTATCCAGGCAGGCCAGCCTCCCCAGCCTCTGGGCCTGCCACACCCCTCACCACCCTCCTCTACATGATTCATTGTCCCTTCTGTAACAAGGAAAATGACACTTGGTGAGTGTCAGCAACTCACCAAGTTTGCACAGCTCAGAGGTATCACCTTCCACGGGGTATAATCAACATACAATTAACTGTATATGTTTAAAATGTACAACTTGACGTTTCAACATACACATATACACCTGTGAAAGTGTCGCCACTGCCAAGATGATGAGCATAGCTGTCACCCCTTGAAGGCTTCTCTGTGTTCCGTTGTAACCCCCACACCACACCTACCCCTCCTTCCAGGCAACATCCTGCTTTCTGGCAGCACCTGTTAGTGTACATTTCCTAGAATTCTATGTAAATGAGAAAAAAGTAGGTGCCTTTTTTTTGTCTGTCTTCTTTCACCTGGCATGATTATTTCTAGATTCATCCATGTTGTTCAGAAGTATTCTCTTTTCCCCTCAATGGTTGAAAGATTTGTGTAGAATTGGTATCAATTTTGGTCATTATTTTTCTCAAATATTTTTCAGGCTCACTCCTTTTTTGAGACTCCACATATATATTCTGGTTACACAGATATTATGCTGCTTAAAGTTTCTCCACATCTCACAATTCATTCTCGCTCTTTCATTTTAGATAGCTTCTACTGTCTCTCTAAACTCACTAATTTTTCTTCTACAATATCTAATCTGCCATCAGTCCCTTCCAGTGGGTCTTGATCACACACTTTGTGGTTTTCATCTCTGGAAGTTGGATTTGCATCTTTTTTTTATTCTTCATGTTTCTACTGACCTTTTAAATATAATGCGGGTAACTGCTGCTGCCTTAATGACCTTGTCTTGTCTGGTAATTCTAACAACTGTATCATATGTGGGTCAATTTCAACTCACTGCCTTTTTCTCCTCACTATGGGTTGTGTATTCCTGCCCTCCGTGTCTGGTAATTTTTGGTTGGATGCCAGACACTATAAATCTCACCTTACTGGATGCTGAATATGTTTGTGCTCTTATAATTGTCCTTAGGCATTGTTTAGGGAGGCAGTTAAGTCGTTTGTAAACAGATGGACTTTCCTGTTAAAATTCATCAGTATTTGTTAGGTGGGACCTGAGCAGAGCTCACCATGGGGCTAATTATGCCCCACACTGAGGCAAGACCCTTCCAAGTTCTCTAACTCCCTGTGGATCTTGGGGTTTCCAGTCTAGCTGGTGGAAACAGGCATATTCCTTGCCCTGTGTGAGCACCAGGTGATGTTCCCTCTGACCCTCTCACGTAGATCTTTCTCCAGCATTGCAGTTTCCTCACACATGCACTGAGCCATCTCCGAGGGCCCTTGTCAGCTCTCTGCGCTCTCTCTGTGCAGCTCTCTCTCTAGTGCTCTATCCTGTGACCTCCAGCTGCCTTCGTGTTCCTGGACTCCCAGCTCTGTCTCCTTACTCAGGGGTCTACCTGAGATCCCCTTCTCTGGGCAGGAAGCTGGGGTGAGAGAGGGATCACTGCACTTGTACCCACCTCTCAGGAGCACCGCGCTTTGCTGCCTGGTGTAAGGTGTCTCTCAACTGTTGTTTCATATGTTTTATCCATGATTTGGTTGTTTCCAGTGAGAGAGTATCTCCAGTTTCTGTTATTCCATCTTGACCAGAAGGAGGAATCCCTGAGGTGTGATTGCAGCAGGCTCCACCTGGCACCAGATGGCTGCATTGGACACACCAAAGCTGAGCGTGGCCTGCATTCCATCTGGCATATTTTGACTGCTGTGTCATGTCTGATTTCCGGAAACTGGAGTTTATCACCTGTGCTATGAGAAAAATGTAGCAAAGCATGCATTTTCTGTTTAGAAATCTTGATATTTCTCCCCATTAAGCTCTTTAAGAATGTGGTAGTAGCCAATACTAAATGTGCACCCTGCACTGGTTTTGGTGTCACTTAAAGAAAGGTCCAGGCCTTCCCTGGTGGCACAGTTGTTGAGAGTCCGCCGCCGATGCAGGGGACGCGGGTTCGTGCCCCAGTCCGGGAAGATCCCACATGCCGCGGAGCGGCTGGGCCCGTGAGCCATGGCCGCTAAGCATGCGCGTTTGGAGCCTGTGCTCCGCAACGGGGGAGGCCACAACAGTGAGACGCCCACGTACCGCAAAAAAAAAAAAGGTTCACTCAGAAGAAATCTGACTGCACTGGAAGGCAAGAGCGTAGGAGACTATCACAGGGGCTGGAGTTGGTGCTTGACTCCTGGGCCCTCGCCAGCCCTCAAGGCCACGCACGCACAGAGGTGGCTCATGCTTCTCTTCTGAGCACACTCTGACCGGAGGCCCTTCTGCTGCATGGGTGGCCGAGGGTCAGGCTTCAGGACACCTTTTTGGTTGTGTGTGTTGCAGGGAGGGGAAACTGCATCTCCACTGATGGTTCTTTATTTTGTTTAGCAAGGGAGGAAGGGAATGTGTGAAGAAGCCACTGGCAGCAGAGCTGAGTGAGTGCCTGTGTCTGGGAGGGCACGTGGAGATGCCAGCCAGCTCTCCTCAGATACAGTGGGCACTGCACACTCAAGGGGACCCTTTCTCCCTGAGTCACTGCATGACTGGGGACAAGCTCAGTTCTGGCCCCAGTTTTAAGCCAGGGCCTAGAAGCTGCTGCACGGGGGCCAGGGACTCAGCCATGCTCCATCCACCCACAGACCTCTATGGCCTGCCCGGGGGTCTCCTGCACTGGGTGGTGGCATGAAGATGCCCTTCCATGTTCTCCCTTGAGCACTGGGTCTGTCACCCACGCTGCTCCAAGTGCCAGTGGAGAAGGTGGTTTTCATTCTCCTTTCACGTTTTTTTTTTAGAACCTCCTGAACTGCTCCACTTCAAAACTGCTGGGCAAGAAAAAGATTTTCAGCAAATCCCCCCAGCCCTCCAACCCTGTGCAAGGCCTGGCCTGGCCAACTCAAAGGACCCGGAACACAGCCAGCAGGGAGCCTGGCACCCACCCTTCCACCTCAGTGTCCTTGCGGAGTCTGACAGCCTCAGGTAACCCACCTATTGCCCAGGAATATGTGACTGCCGCTCCTGGTCCCTGACCTCCTCTGCAGCTCCACTGGGGGTTCAAGTGGAAGATTTGGGGAAATGTCAATCTCCTCCCAGTCTAGTCTCACCTTTGACCCTCTCTGTGCACCTAGACTGACACTTGAAGGTGTCTTTCCTCCACGAAGGTTTCCAGAAGAGGCACCATGTGAGGGCATGAAGTAGCTCCAGTGCTTAGCAGGAAGAGGAATTGGGAACCAAGATCCAGCCTCCTCAGCCTCCAGGTCTCTGGAAAATGACAGGTCACCTGTCAGACAGAATATCGACAGTGATATTGAGGGAGGGTCTCGATGGGGATCCTGCCTCACCTCAGAGCTACATGGTAGGATAGAGTGCCAAAAGCACAGAACAGACCCGATTCACTGTGCTCATGGTGGTTATTGCTACTCGTTTACACATATATTCTGAATTCACTGAGGGGCAGGTAGCGTCACGCTACAGAATTCATTCCTTCCTCTCCTTTTTTTCTTTCACTCTCTCTTTTTTCTTTCTTTCTTTCCTTCCTTCTTTCCTCCCTTCTTTCCTTCCTTCCTTCCTTCTTTCTTTCTTTCTTTCTCTCTTTCTTTCTCACTCTCTCCCTCCCTCCTTCCCTCTCTCTCTTCCTTCTTTTTTTAATGAAGAAATTTATTTTTAGAATAAAATGCTTTCCACTTGCCATTGCCCCAAAGCCTGCCTAGTCAGGACCCAGCTGAGGCTGACCAGGGTGTTCACTTCACACTCAGACCCAGCCCCCTCCTCCATGTTGATTTTCTCCAGAGGGCCCCACCTGGGGGCTGGTCCATGGCCCAGCTGGCATTGACTATGCTCATTTCTCCCTGACAGGAAGACCCCGGCCAGCCCCTCACAGAGCTCAGAGAACTCAACTTTGAGGATGGAGCCAGGAGGGGTGTCCTCAATGCCCCCAGCCCCCATTGCCACCCGGGGGGAGCCAGATGCTGGGCCTAGCGGCTCCTCCCCGGAGCATCCAAGCACAGACCCGGGGAAGCTCCGAGCGCTCCCTGTTGGGCCTGGAGCCCACTGCGGTGACCCTGCCTCCGGGAGCCCTGGCAGCCAGGCCTCTGCGGGGGACGCGGGCTCTGTGAGCGAACCCAGCAGCGGCACTAAGATCCCTAACCGGGACAGCGGGATAGACAGCCCCTCCTGCAGCGTGGTCGGCGAGCACTTCTCCTGCGAGGACGGCAGCGAGGCGGGCCCAGGCCCCACCAGCAAAGGGCTGCACCTGGAGACAGCCCCAGGTGGCAAGGCCCCACGGGAGGAGGCCGATAGCGATATGGGCGAGGGCAGCAGTGAGGAGCCAGACCCCGAGAATAGCCCCTTGAGGGCTGACGCGGATCCAGCCAAGGTAGGCCACCTTCCCGTCCCAGGTGTCAGGGGCTGCAGAGCTCTCCTCTGAGGGTATTTGAGGTTTACAGGGCCATCACCCAGGCCTGGTGCCAGTAGCAGGGTGTACACTCAGACACCATGCTCAGAGAAGCCCCTGCTACGGGTTGATGGGCAGGCTCTGGGGAAGGACCACGCAGGCAGGGGTCTCCCTGACACATCAGACAATGATCTCACTCCCAAGCCTTAGTTCCATGGCCCCACGGTGGCACAGGGACCCCACCCCAGGGTGGCTGTGGCGGTCCAACTGAGCGGAAACAGCGCTGCCACCACTCTTTGCCAGTGCTTGCTGCCTGCCTTGCAGAGCCCGCATGAGGAAGACAGCATGCTTGTCACCTTATTTTATGAATGGGGAAACCCCAGGGTTTCGCATGGTGTGTGGCAGAGTCAGGAAGGGAGCCCAGGCACGCGAGGGGAGCCCCGTGCAGATGGCTCCGGGAAGCAGGCGTGCCCACCTGTGGGGGCTCGGCCTTGCAAGAAAGCTCATCTGTGTCCCTTTAGCGTTTTGGGCTCTGGGCTCTACACTGGGACTTGTGGGGACATGGAAGTAAAGCCGACAGCTCCGGCTTAGAGAGACCACCTGTGCATGGGAGGAGAACAGCGTAGGTAAGCTGCAAGTGACTGGGTCCCAAGACAAGCACAAGTGGCATTTGGCCAGGGTCAGACCTGCTGGCTCCTGGTAGAGATGGTATGGACTAACATGGCCGCATCAAGAGGCAGGCTTCGTGGGCAAAGGGCAGCCACAGGCCTGCACTGTTGAAAGCTAAATTCTCAGCGAGTGGGCTGGGGGCATGTTTTAAGCTAAGTTTTATTATTATTCAGGAATGGTGAAGCCCACAAATCAGGAGATGACTGCCATTTAAAGACAGTTTATTACTCATAGTTCCCGAGAGGAGGGGGCACACCACACCATGGGAAACCAGAGGGAAAAGCACCAGGGTAGGGCAGGAGGCAGAGGGAGTGGAAATTGTGAGCAAGAGTCTTTTTTTAACCATGTAATGGTTTTATTCTTTTAATTGAAGTATAGTTTATGTACAAATACTATATAAGTTACAGTAGAGTCTTTATTGTGGTTTCTGAGGAAAGGGATGGGTGAGACAGGGTAAGCAGTCTTAAGATTGGCCAGTTTGAATAATTTCAGTGGGTTCTGTGCACAGGGGCTCTCCCTGGATAGCTCACGTAATTAGGGCAGGGGAATAGGGGAAAGCAAGTATAAAGAAGGTGGTTGGGTGTGGGCTCTGGATGGGTTGGTTTGCGCTTGAAAGACATTCTTGCCAGCGAATCCTTTACATCTCTAGGAATCAGCGAACCCTGGGAGGGACAGTCCCTCCAGGGTCAACAAGGCCCCAAAGTTTTGGTATCAGGATAATGCTGGTCTCATGGAATGAGTTAGGAAGCATTCCTTATTCTTTAGTTTTCTGGGAAAAATTTGAGAACAATTGGTATTAATTTCCCAGTGAAGCTATCTGCTTCTGGGCTTTTCTTTGTTGGGAAGTTTTTTATGGCTTATTGAACCTCCTTACTTGTTATCGGTCTGTGCAAATTTTCTATTTCTTCATGACTCAGTCTTGGTAGGTTTTGTGTTTCTAGGAATTTATCTATTTCTTTTAGCTTATCCAATTGTTGGCATTTAATTTTTCAGAGCCGTCTCTTCTGATCCCTTGTATTCAACTGTAGTATCAGTTGTAATATTTCCTCTTTCATTTTATTTATTTGAGTTCTCTCTCATTTTTTTGGTAAGTCTAGCTAAAGGTTTGTTAATTTTGTTTATCTTTTCAAAAAACAACTCTTAGTTTTGTTGGTTTTTTCCCTTTGTTTTTCTACCCTCTGTTTCATTTACCTCTGTTCTAATCTCTATTACTGACTCCTGTTTAAGTGCGTATTGTCTAATTTCTACAAATCTGTGGATTTTCCAGTTTTCTCTGTGCTGTTGATTTCTAGTTTCATTCTGTTGTGATTGGAAAAGATATTTTATATGATTTCAATCTTCTTGAATTTGTTAATACTTGTTTTGTGGCCTAACACGTGGTTTGACCTGGAGAACGCTCTGTGTGCACTTGAGAAGAATGTATGTTCTGCCGTTGTTATATGGAATATTCTGCATATGTTTGTTAGGTTCATTTGTTCTACAGTATTATTCAAATCCCCTGCTTCCTTATTGATGTTTTGCATGTCCTATCCAGTATTGAAAGTAGAGTACTGACATCTCCTACTATTCTTCTGTTGCTATCTGTTTCTTGCTTCAATTCTGCCAAAGTTTGCTTCATATATTTAGGAGCTCTGAGGTTTGATGAATAAATATTTATAATTGTTATACCTTCTTGGTGAATTGGTCCTTTTAACATTATATAATGTCTTTCTTTGTATTGTGTAATGGTTTTTTAATTTAAAGTCCATTTGTCTGGGGCTTCCCTGGTGGCGCAGTGGTTGACAGTCCGCCTGCCGATGCAGGGGACACGGGTTCGTGCCCCGGTCCGGGAAGATCCCACATGCATGGAGCAGCTAGGCCCGTGAGTCATGGCTGCTGAGCCTGCGCGTCCGGAGCCTGTGCTCCGCAATGGGAGAGGCCACAACAGTGAGAGGCCCGCGTACCGCAAAAAAAAAAAAAAAGATCATAAAGTTCATTTGTCTGATGTAAATATGGCCACTCGTGATCTCTTTTGTTTACCATTTCCATGAAATATCTTTTTCCATCTTTCACTTTCAGTCTATGTATGTCCTTAAATCTAAAGTGAATTTCTTGTGGGTAGCATATAATTGGATTTTATTTTTAACCCGTTCAATCAATCCATGTCTTTTGATTGGGGAGTTTAATTCATTTACATTTAAAGTAATTCCTGGTAGGGAAGGACTTACTATTGCTTTCTTCATTGTTTTCTGTATGTTTTGTAGCTTTTTGTCCCTATCTTACTGCTTTCCTTTTTTAAGTTTAATTGATTTTTTTGTAATAATATGCTTGATTCCCTTCTCATTGCCTCTTGTGTATATTCTATATATTTTTTCTATTGCAATTACATAAAATAGTGAAAGTTATAGTATTTTACTTTTTTAAAGATCTTCCATCTGCTTTTTATTGGGGTATAATTGCTTTACAGTGTTATGTTGGTTTCTGCTGTACAACAAAGTAAATTAGCTATATGTATACATATATCCCCTCCCTCTTGCACCTCTCTCCCACCCACCCCCATCCCATGCATCTAGGTCATCACAGAGCACTGAGCAGAGCTCCCTGTGCTATACCACATGTTCCCACTAGCTATCTATTTTACACATGGTAGTGTATTTATGTCAAACCTAATCTCCCAATTCATCCCACCCTCCCCTTCCCCTCCCCTGTGTCCACATGTCCATTCTCTACACCTGTATCTCTATTCCTGCCCTGCAAATAGGTTCATCTGTACCATTTTTCTAGATTCCACATATATGCGGTAATATTTGATATTAGTTTTTCTCTTTCTGACTTACTCCACTATGTATGACAGACTCTAGGTCCATCCACATCTCTACAAATGACCCAATTTGTTCTTTTTTATGGCCAATATTCCATTGTATAAATATGCCACATCTTCTTTATCCATTCATCTGTCAAAGGACATTTAAGCTGTTTCCACATCATGGCTATTGTAAATAGTGCCACAATGAACGTTGGGGTACATGGGTCTTTTTGAACTATGGTTTTCTCAGGGTATAAGCCCAGTAGTGGGATTGCTGGGTCATATGGTAGTTCTATTTTTAGTTTTCTAAGGACACTCCATTCTATTCCCCACAGTGGAGGTATCAATTTACATTCCCACCAACAGGGCAAGAGGGCTCCCTTTTCTCCACGCCCTCTCCAGCATTTAGTTTTTGTGACTTTTTGCTGATGGCCATTCTGACTGGTGTGAGGTAATACCTCATTGTAGCTTTGATTTGCATTTTTCTAATAATTAGTGATGTTGGGCATCTTTTCATCTGTATAACATTTTATTTTAAGCTGAACAATACTTAACTTCAATGATATACAAAAACTACTCCTTTTCAGCTCCCCCTCCCAGACACTCTATGTTATTGATGTCACAAATTATGTATTTATATATATAGTATGCACTTTCACATAGATTTATAGCTTTTAAATGTTTTTGTCCTTTTTGTGTTATTTTCTGCCAAAATTATTATAGTACAGGTTACTATATTTGTTCATGCATTTACCTTTATTGAAGAACCTTATATTTTTGTACAGCTTCATGTTGCTATCTACCATCTTTTCACAACTTGAAGGACTTACTTTAGCATTTCTTGTATGGCAGGTCTAGTGGTAATGAACTCTTTATCTTCTGTTTATTTGGGAAAGTCTTAATTTCTTCTTCATTTAAAAAATTTTTATTATTTTTTTTTTATTTTATAAATTGGAGTATAGTTGCTTTACAACATTGTGTTAGTTTATGCTGTACAGCAAAGTGAATCAGCTATATAGATACATATATCCCCTCTTTTTTGGATTTCCTTCTCATTTAGGCCACCACGGAGCACTGAGTAGAGTTCCTTGAGCTATACAGTAGGTTCTCATTAGTTATCTATTTTATACATAGTATCAATAGTGTTTATATGTTAATCACAATCTCCCAATTCATCCCATCCCCCGCTTCCCCCTTGGAATCCATATGTTTGTTCTCTACTTCTGTGTCTCTATTTCTGCTTTGTAAATAAGATTGGCTATACCAATTTTTTCAGATTCCACATACATGCATTAATATATGATATTTGTTTTTCTCTTTCTGACTTACTTCGCTCCGTATGACAGTCCCTAGGTCCATCCATGTCTCTACGAATGACCCAATTTTGCTCCTTTTTATGGCTGAGTAATATTCCATTGCATATATGTACCACATCTTCTATATTCATTCATCTGTTGATGGACATTTAGGTTGCTTCCATGTCCTGGCTATTGTAAATAGTGCTGCAATGAACATTGGGGAGCATGTATCTTTTTGAATTATGGTTTTCTCTGGGTATGTGCCCAGTAGTGAGATTGCTGGGTCATATGGTAGTTCTATTTTTAGTTTTTTAAGGAATCTGCATACTGTTCTCCATACTGGCTGCATCAATTTACATTGCCACCAACAGTGCAAGAGGGTTCCCTTTTCTCCACACCCTCTCCAGCATTTATTGTCTGCAGTTTTTTTTTTCTTCTTCTTTTTGGCTGCTTTGGATCTTCGTTGCTGTGCACAGGCTTTCTCTAGTTGCAGCGAGCGGGGGCTACTCTTCATTGAGGTGTGTGGGCTTCTCACTGTGGTGCCTTCTCTTGTTGTGGAGCATGGACTCTAAGTGCGCAGGCTTCAGTAGTTTTGGCTCACGGGCTCTAGAGCACAGGCTCAGTAGTTGTGGTGCACGGGCTTAGTTGCTCTGTGGCACATGGGATCTTCCTGGACCAGGGCTCGAACCCATGTCCCTGCATTGGCAGGTGGATTCTTAACCACTGTGCTACCAGAGAAGTCCTATTGTTTGTAGATTTTTTGATGATAGCCATTCTGACCAGTGTGAGGTGATACCTCATTGTAGTTTTGACTTGCATTTTTCAAATGATTAGTGATTTTGAGCATCCTTTCATGTGTTTGTTGGCCATCTGTATATCTTCTTTGGAGAAATGTCTATTTAGATCTTCTGCCCATTTTTGGACTGGGTTGTTTGCTTTTTTGATATTGAGCTGCATGAGCTGCTTGTATATTTTGGAGATGAATCCTTTGTCAGTTGCTTCATTTGCAGATATTTTCTCCCATTCTGAGGGTTGTCTTTTCGTTTTGTTTATGGTTTCCTTTGCTATGCAAAAGGTTTAAGTTTCATTAGGTCCCATTTGTTTATTTTTGTTTTTGTTCTCATTACTCTAGGACATGGGTCAAAAAAGGTCTTGCTGCAATTTATGTCAAAGAGTGTTCTTCTTATGTTTTCCTCCAAGAGTTTTATACAGTCTGGCCTTACATTTAGGTCTTTAATCCATTTTGAGTTTATTTTTGTGTATGTTAGGGAGTGTTCTAATTTCATTCTTTTACATGTAGCTGTCCAGTTTTCCCAGCAACACTTATTGAAGAGGCTATCTTTGCTCCATTGTATATTCTGGCCCCCTTTGTCATAGATTAGGTGACCATAGGTGCGTGGGTTTATCTCTGGGCTTTTGACCCTGTTCCATTGATCTATATTTCTGTTTCTGTGCCAGTATCATCTGTTTTGATTACTGTAACTTTGTAGTATAGTCTGAAGTCAGGGAGCCTGATTCCTTCAGCTCCAATTTTGTTTCTCAAGATTGCTTTTGCTATTTGACGTCTTTTGGGTTTCCAAACAAACTGTAAAATTTTTGTTCTAGTTCTGTGAAAAATGCCCTTGGTAATTTGATAGGGATTACATTGAATCTGTAGATTGCTTTGGGTAGTATAGTCATTTTCACAGTGTGGATTCTTTCAATCTGAGAACATGGTATATCTCTCCATCTTTTTGTGTCATCTTTGATTTCTTTCACCAGTATCTTATCGTTTTCTATGTACAGGTCTTTTACCTCCTTAGGTAGGTTTTTTCCTAGGTATTTTATTCTTTTTGTTGCAATGGTAAATGGGATTGTTTCCTTAGTTTCTCTTTCTGATCTTTCATTGTTAGTGTATAGGAATGCAAGAGATTTCTGTGCATTAGTTTTGTATCCTGCAACTTTATCAAATTCATTGATTAGGTCTAGTAATTTTCTGGTGGCATCTTTAAGATTTTCTGTGTATAGTATCATGTCATCTGCAAACAGTGACAGTTTTACTTCTTCTTTACCAATTGGGATTCCTTTTATTTCTTTTTCTTCTCTGATTGCCATGGCTAGGACTTCCAAAACTATGTTTAATAATGTTGGCGAGGGTGGGCATCCTTGTCTTGTTCCTGATTTTAGAGGAAATGCTTTCAGTTTTTCACCATTAAGAGTAATATTTGCTGTGCATGTGTCATATATGGCCTTTATTATGTTGAGGTTGGTTCCCTCTATGCCCACTTTCTGGAGAGTTTTTATCATAAATGGGTGTTGAATTTTGTCAAAAGCTTTTTCTGCATCTGTTGAGGTGATCATATGGTTTTTTATTCTTCAATTTGTTAATATGTGTATCACATTAATTGATTTGTGTATATTGAAGAATCCTTGCATCCCTGGGATAAATCCCATTTGATCATGGTGTATGATCTTTTTAATGTGTTGTTAGATTCAGTTTGCTAGTATTTAGTTGAGGATTTTTGTGTGTATGTTTGTCAGTGATATTGGCCTGTAATTTTCTTTTTTTGTGATATGTTTATCTGGTTTTGGTATCATCTTCTTCATTTTTGAAAGATGGCTTTGCTGGATACATATTCTTGGTTGACAGTTTTATTTTTCTTTCAGCACTTTAAATATATCATCCCACTCCTCCCACCCCCCCTTTTTTTTTATTATAATGTGTCCCAGTGTGGTTCTTTGGATTTATCCCATTTGGAGTTCTGTGAGCTTCTTGAATTCATATGTCCATTTCTTTCCTCATATTTGGGACATTTTTAGCCACTAATTCTTCAAGTATGCTGTACTTGACTCCCAAAGTGCATATATTGGTCCCTTGGGTAGTATCCCATAAGTTTCTTAGGCTCTCTTTGCTTTCTTCATTGTTTTTTCTTTTTGTTTCCCTGATTTCTGATTTCAAATGACCTAGCTTGAACTTTTCAGTCTAGTTATTGCAATTTTCAGTTCTAGAGTTTCTGTTTGGCTCTTTTTTTAAAAATAGTTTTTATCTCTTTATTGATATTCTGTTCATGCATCACTTTCCTGATTTCACTTAGTTGTCTGTGTTCTTTTTTAGTTCATTGAGCATCTATATGACAGGTATTTAATATTTTTTACAGGCAGCTCATAGAGCTATGTTTCTTTAGGTTTGGTTTCTGGAATTTTATTTTGTTCCTTTAATCACACTATGTTTCCCTATTTCTTTGTAAGTTTTTGCTGGAATTTGAGCATCTGAAAAATGACCATCTCTCCAGTCTTTGCATGCTGGCTTTGTGCAGGGAAAACCTTAGCCAATCAGGCTGGAATTTCTAAGACCTATTAAAATTTTTCTGATCTCCTGCTCCCCTGGCATCTGCCTGCAGAACATCAGCTCTAACATGCTGCTTGCCTCTGTTTTCCAACTCTGGCGCTGGTCATGACAGCATTCCAAATCAGGCAAGACAGAAACCAGTCCCTCAGGCAGCTTCCAGATGAGCCAAAATTTTGGATGCACAGTTCACTCCTTTGTTTCCATCCTGAGGGAGGAGCCCTAGTTGGGGGGGAGGCGGTTCTTCCCCATTGTGCTGTGCTATGCTGCGTGGGGGAGGAACACAAAAGGGTGTTCCAAACATGCCAATTTTCATTCTCTATTTGATACAATCGCTTCTTAGTTTTACAATGCCTTGGAAGCTGTAGCTTCTCAGCTGGTCTCCAGAGTTTCCACAGAGGTATTCTTGTTTGTATATTGTTAACTCATGTGTGGGGGAAGGAGGGCCTATAACTTTCTTTTTTTTTTTTTAATATATTTTCTTGAAGTATAGTTTATTTACAATGCTGTGTTAATTTCTACTGCACAGCAAAGTGATTCAGTTATATATATACATATATATATTTTTTAAAATATTCTTTTCCATTATGGTTTATCACAAGATATTGAATATAGTTCCCTGTGCTATACACTAGGACCTTGTTGTTTATCCATTCTATATATAGTAGTTTGCATTTGCTAATCCCAAACTCCCAATTCATCCCTTCCCCCCGCTTTGGCAACCACAGGTCTGTTCTCTATGTCTGTGAGCCTGTTTCTGTTTCATAGATAATTTCATTTGTGTCATATTTTAGATTCCACATATAAGCGATATCATATGGTCTTTCTCTGTCTGGCTTACTTCACTTAGTGTGATAATCTCTAGCCCATGTTGCTACAAATGGCATTATTTCATTCTTTTTAATGGCTGAGTAATATTCCATTGTATATATGTACCGCATCTTCTTTATCCATTAATCTTTTGATGGACATTTAGGTTGTTTCCATGTCTTGGCTATTGTAAATAGTGCTGCAATGAACATTGGGGTGCATGTATCTTTTTGAATTACAGTTTTGTCAGAACGTATGCCCAGGAGTGGGATTGCAAAATCATATAGCAACTCTATTTTTAGTTTTTTGAGGGACCTCCATAGTGGCTGCACAAATTTACATTCCCAGTGTAGAAGGTTTCCCTTTTCTCCACACCCTCTGTAGCATTTCTTATTTGTAGACTTTCTAACGATGGCCATTCTGACCAGTGTGAGGTGGTACCTCATTATAGTTTTGATTTGTATTTCTCTAATAATTAGCAATGTGGAGCATCTTTTCATGTGCCTGTTGGGAGGGCCTGTAGCTTTCTAATCTGCCACCTTGCTGATGTCACTCCACAATATATTTTGATGTGGCTATTGCAGCTCCTCTGTAGTTAAAGCCCCGGGAAGATAGAGTTCTCTCTGGGCTGCAGAAGGTTTGGGGGGGTTGGCAGAAACTATTATGTCTTCCCCAGAAACCTCCCTGGAAATTCCATCTGCGAGAACTGAGCCCCACATCCCAGTCCCAGCAGCCTCCTCTGGTCTTTTGGGGCCCCTGGTCATCCCTGGCATACAGCGGGTAGCCTTTGTCATATGCTGCCTCCCCAAAACTCATCTTCCCTAGGTGAGCTATGGCTCTTCTCTTTACAGTGCGCTGAGCCCCAGAAGCTGCTCCACATTGCCCAGGAGCTGCTGCATACTGAGGAGACCTACGTGAAGCGTCTACACCTGCTAGACCAGGTAGCCCTCCTGGCTTGGGCCTGCCTTTGTCCACTTCCAGAGTTTCAGTGGACAGTTTCAGAGGCAAACTTTCTCTCTTAGCATTGGCTAGGGCTTGCAGTTGGAGTATGACTGACGTGAATACTAAAACTTGGACAAATTTAAGTCTCCTCCAGAAAGTCTTAGTTTTTGCTTTCAGAACTTGTGGCTTTGGGGCAATGGTCTCATCCAGTCACCTTGGGGTTTTTTTCTTCTTGGCAGTTAAATTATCTGAGCATTTAAATGGCCTCTGGACTTCTTCCTGCATAAATAGTTGGGAAAGTGGGTGGCACTCTCCCTGTCCACCTGGCAACGTGGGGTTTATGAGCACAGGAAGTAAAACTGCAACAGAAACTGGGTTTTGACAGGTGCTTCTTCTCTTTGTAGCTCACAAAGCAAAGAAAGGAAATCAGGACCATCCATTTCCCTTGAAGGGCAGATGGAAGAAAGATGGCCTGTCCCCATCTAGAGGGGACTGTCCCTGCCTCACCCCCAATTCTTAGCCATAAGTAAGCTTGCTTTAAGACCATAAGGTTCTTTGAGCCAGTTTGATGAAGTGGAAGGTTCACTAAGAAAACATAAGGCAACGGCAGCCTCTCTTGAGCTCCCATACCTGCAGCAGAAGCATGATCGTAACCATCTGCAGTGACCCACACTCAGTGACCACTGCATGGGCTTCTCCGTTCCCAGGTTTTCTGCACCCGACTGATGGAAGCAGGGATCCCTTCGGAAGTCACCACAGGCATCTTCTCTAACATCTCCTCCATCTATTGCTTCCACGGGAAGTTCCTCCTTCCTGAGCTGCAGACACGGATCATGAATGAGTGGTAAGTGCAGCTCATGGTGCCTGGGAAGTGTAGGGGCTGGCATCTCCCAGGGAGTCTGGCTCCAATGCCCTTGGTGGTTGAGGGTCATGGTGACACTATTGCAGTGGTTTTGTTGAATACTGTCTGCCAAGCAGCCTCTGAATCTGGGGTTTGTATGCCCAAAAGCCAGGAGACACCTGGGGAGCCTGTCTCATAGTGCCCTGGGCTCTCTTTCTGTAGGGTCCTGGGCCAACCCTGACCCCAAGCCCTCTCAGTGTCTTAGCTTCTTCATCTGCAATACCTGCTCAGGGCTTTGTGGAATTTAAATGAGGTTTGCCATCTGCAAACACCAGTGAATAGACAGTGCTTATTGGTTTATTTTCCCCCCTAGTGTATATTGCACCTCTGCTTTAAAAAATGAGATGTTTTTCTTCCTCAGCAGTGTCCCCAGAGGGCTGTCCCTCTGTCCCTCTTCCGCTTCCGTTCATTTGTGGCAGAGGGACTGCCCAGCTGTAAGAAATGATAATAAAACATTACAGGCATGGCCCCCAGCTTGCCATTCTCCATATTATGTGCTTCCCCCTCTGTTCTGGGTGCTGCTGCAGCTTTGCTTTGGGGTCTCTGCTGTCTCCCCTCTTCACTGGCCTGGCTTGAGCCAGTGTGTGGTTCTGTGGTAAGAGAAGAGGCCATTTCCAAGCTGCAGCCAGGCCAGGGAGAGCACAGAGGCCAGGGGGCTTGATTGGGGGTTGTCCCTGCCCCTGCAAGGCTCAGCAGGGGTCCAGGGCAATTTGTAAATATTTAGAAAGACATGCTCCGCCTGCAGAGCAGGTTATACTGTGTCCAAGGCCATGAGGTTAAAGCTCAGGGCTAGATTGGCTTTCTGGCTGATGCAGTGCACACCCGCTAGATATAAGTTTTCTCCTCAAGGCCCTGGAGTGACTGTCAGCACACAGACACTCCTTGTGTAATAAGGGTGCGAGAGTCCAGAAGCTTGCCCATCCGTCTTCACAGGTGGTGGGCCTCTGAGTGCATGTTCCTAGTAATGCTGCGGAGGATGACTTTATGCATATGCCTTTTTTTCTTCTTTTTGATTATTTCTTTAGGATAAATCTCCCACAGTTCTAAGGTCAAAGGTTATTAATATATTTTCTGCTCCTTGAAATTTATTTCCAAATCCCTGTCCAAACCATTCATTATTACACGGTGCTGCTTTCCCATGACATTGCCAGAGTTAGATTGCCCCATTGTTCCTAATCTTTGCTCATATAGAAGAAGTATAATGGGGTTTTCTTGATTCTTTTTGATAACTGTGGCTCATCATTAAAGTGATTCCATTATTACTAACAACTCCTGGTTTTGAGCAATCGTTCTATGACTGCATGGTTGAAGTACTTTACATGATCCTCTAGGTAACACACTATTTTCCATCCCATGTGATACAGGGAAGGAAAGTAAGGCTTAGGGGAGGTGACCAGTTTGCCCACCATCACACAGAGCTGGGAGTCAGGCCATTGTCCCATAGCTCCCTGGTGAAGTCCCTGTCTCACCCTGGCACTTCAGTGGAGCTGTTTGCCTGACGATCTCACTCACTCCCCCACAAAGGGACACAAACCCCCGGCTTGGAGACATCCTGCAGAAGCTGGCCCCATTCCTCAAGATGTATGGTGAATACGTCAAGAACTTTGACCGGGCCGTGGAGCTGGTGAGCACCTGGACCCAGCGCTCACCGGTATTTAAGGACATTGTCCAAGGCATCCAGGTAGGGCGGTCCCACCTCTGCTTCATGGGCACAGTGCTGGCTTTGTGTTTCAACATGGAGAAAATCCGTAAAATTGTGGGATGTGTCCAGATGCTCTATTGATGCTTTGATCCTTAAAATAACTTCCAGGGACAAATCATCATTCTCATTTCATGGGTGAGGAAATCGTGGCTCAAAAAGTTTGTGCAGGGCTTCCCTGGTGGAGCAGTGGTTGAGAGTCCGCCTGCCGATTCAGGGGACACGGGTTCGTGCCCCGGTCCGGGAAGATCCCACGTGCCGCAGAGTGGCTGGGCCCGTGAGCCATGGCCGCTGAGCCTGCGCGTCCGGAGCCTGTGTTCCGCAACGGGAGAGACCACAACAGTGAGAGGCTCACGTACCGCAAGAAAAAAAAAAAAAGTTTGTGCGATCTATGTCATCAGAAACTATTATTCAATAGGACCTGGATCCAAACATGCTGGTCTCCCTCCACAGCATCTCTCAATGGCTAGTGGAAGCACTTAGGAAAATGTTGCATTGATCTTTTCTTTCTCTTTTTCTGCAAACAGCCTGTTCACACCTCTGGTTGCTGTTGTCTGCTGCCATGTTGGTCTTTTTCTTACTGATTCATGAGGTTTTTATATGTTAAGAATGTCAGCTGTTAACTGTCAAATGTGTTGCAAATTATTTTTCTCCATTGATGTTTTATTTTTTAACTTTATGTATGATTTTGTTTTCCATACAAAATTTTGGGGTTTTAATTAGCCACATTCACCAATTTTAAATAAAGTAATTCTTTAAAAAATATTTCAAGTATGTGCCACATGCACATACATGCATACATGTGCACACGTAATACATAGGCACATGTGCATATGTGTACATACATATGTGTTCACACATGCATACGTGCACCTACATTCCTCACTGTACCCTGAAGGGTTAATGGGCACAGAGTCCCCCTGTGCTGAGGGTTTGGAGGCCAGGCTCGGATTTGGGGTGGCCCCTTGATAACTTTCTGTGTTTTCCCCAGATCCCACTGTAATCAAGTCACCCATGATTTCTCAGCGTAGGGTCCTAGATCCCCCTGCATCTCTCAGCATCCCTGTCCCTCCCCAGAGAGGATAGCTCTGATACTATCAGAGTGTTTCCTTCTCCCCTTTTGCCTGCACTCCTTGCACGCTCACCCCCTCACTTATGTCTGGGCCCTCCCAGCTGTCCCCACAGAACAGTCTCCAATGAGGATGTGTATAAAAAGGCCAGCACTGGGTCTAGAGCAGGCCTGCCTGGGGTCCAGCTCCTTACTCCATCGTTCAACCTCTCCAAACTTCAGTTTCCTCTGCTGTAAGATGTGGTCTGCAGCCAGTTGGGTACAGTCCTCCAGGCAGCCTCCTGGGGGATCCACATGTGTGTCCACGGGTGCCCCACACTGCCTCTGTCTCCCCACAGAAGCAGGAGATGTGCGGAAACCTGACACTGCAGCACCATATGCTGGAGCCCGTGCAGAGGGTCCCCCGCTACGAGCTGCTGCTCAAGGACTATCTGAAGAGGCTCCCAGAGGATGCCCCCGACTGGAAGGATGCAGAGAGTGAGCCAAGCCGGCCGCAGGCTGAGGGCTCCTGGGCAGTGGGAGCTGGGGCCCCTGCTGAAAGCCCACATTGAGAGCCAGAGACAGAAAGAGAGACAAAGAGATAGACAGAGAGACGGAGAGAGCTCCAAGTGACCCCTAAACAAGGAGGTGACTGAGAGTCTGAGTGTAAGGGGAAACCGCCCCTGCCCCCATTGCAGTGCGAGGGGTGGATGATGGTTCTGTGGAGGGGGCTGCTAAGTGTTGGCAGAGCTTAGGCCTCACGGAGGACCTTATGGGGCTGGCAAGGCTGCTCCTGGTGCATGGGCAGCAGCTGGCAGGCAGCATGGGGCAAGGTCTGCACAGGGGAGTGGCATGCCAGCCCCAGCGGACCCCCAGCAAATGGGATGCATCTGCAGGGTCGCATCCCCACACCCAGGGCCAGGTCTCATGAGCAGCCTGGTACAGCCGTGGGAAAGGGCAGGAGCAGGGCAGAACCTGACACTAAGCCTCGTGGGGCGACTACCTGGGTGGAGCCACCAGGCGCCCTGCAGCTTGACTCTGTCTTCTTCCTGCAGGGTCCTTGGAGCTCATCTCCACAGCTGCCAACCACTCCAACGCTGCCATTCGGAAAATGGTGAGTGTGGGCGACCCTGGAAGATGCCCAAGGGACCAGTAGTTTGGGGCAGGGAGGGCACAGGGTGGGCCAGGCACTGTCAGCATGCATACTCACCCACCTGTCCCCCAGGAAGACAGAGACTCCACTGAGAGCCAGACAGGCCTGTCCCTTACTAGCTTGGTGATTGCTGGTAAGTTATATAGCACTCCATGCCTCAGCTTCCCCATCTGTTAAATGAGGTCACTGACAGAATCTGTCTCATTGGGCTGTTGTGGGGATTAAATCACTCTACATGAAGTGCTCAGAACAGGACCTGGCATAATTTAGTGTTAGCTCTTGGTGTCAGCATCATTCATTTGTTCGTTCATTCACTCACTGAAGCTCTGTCAGCTGGGGCTGCTCTAACAAAGTATTGTAGACTGGACGGCTTAAACAGCAGACATTTACTCTCACCATTCCGGAGGTTGGAAGTCCAAGACCAAGGTGCTGGCGGATTTGGTTCCTGGTTTGTAGACAGCCACCTTCTCGCTGTGTCCTCACATGGCAAAAAGAGAGAGCAAGCTCTCTGGTGTCTCTCTTAATAGGGCTCTAATCTCATCATGCCCCCACCCCTCCCCCACCCCATGCCCATGACCTCATCTGAACTTAATCACCTACCAAAGGCCCCACCTCCAAATACAGCCTGAAGGTGGAGGAGATGGTGTCCTCTTGTTGATCTAACGCCCCCGAGTAATAGGCTCTGCCGATGGGGAGGCCTCCTAGCTCATACCAATGCCTTTTGACCCAGTGGGCCCTGTCTTCAGAGGCCCTTGTTTGGCCTGCACACTGCCTGGACATGGTGTAAGCATTTCTAAATCCTTGTCCAGAATTAGAGATCAGGTCATTTCACAGGAGAATCCAAATTCCTGGCTTTACTGGAAAACTCTGAAAACCCCAGGCCCACACTACAACCTGGGACGAGGCGAGGTGCCCCCTAAGTGGGCCGGCTCTCCAGGCCGCCACAGTCCCTACCCAGCCCTGGTTGCCTCAGTCCTGAGACCTATTTACTTTCACATGGGCACTGTTGTTTTTTGAGAGGAAAAAGAAAGTGAAATATTTCTTTGACCCCACATCTCTCAAAAAGGAGAAATGAGAGACGGGCCACCTGTTTTGGGGCAGCTCTTGCTATGTGTGGTCCACGTTCTGTGTCCTCATTACCTGCCTGTCCCCGGGATTGGGTCTGGAGCCCCCAGACCAGATGCGCCTGAGGTCAGGCCCACAGTGGGGCACCCATGGCAACCTAAACAGGTGACATTTCACTCTAGATACTTTTTATCTAATTTCCCCTTTTTTTCCTCCCCGAGACTAAATCTAACGGAGGAGAAAGAGCTGCTTCATGGAACTCTGTGGTCATGAGCTCACACAGAGCCCATGGAGGAGCCCCCATGGGCCTACATCTCTGAGGGGCTTGGGGTGGACTCCTGTCCCACAATAGCATGTCCACTGTGTGGCAGTTCTCGCTCCAAGTCTGGTGAGGCCTCTGTGACCGGCAGGGGGTTCTGGTCAGGTGTGGGGGAAGGCTTATCAATGTGTGCTCATGGGACCCTCTTCATGCTTCTACCTGTCCATCCCTAATCCCCTCAACCTGGACCACCACCCCTGCCTCCCCACCTCCAATCTCCCTGGTCTCTGGTCTGTACTTCTCTACTCAGAGCTTTCTATGGGTTGCTTATTTTGTCACTCCCTGTCCAGAAGCCTCCTGGCCTGCCACTGCCTCACATGTACACACATAAGCTCTCCTACATGTCCACTGCACGCCCAGCCCCTGGTACACACAAGGCCCTTTGGCCCTGCCTAGCCTGCTCTTCCTCAGTCTCCATGCTGGCTCCCCCTCCTGCTCCCATGCCCACATCTACCACCTGTTTCCATACCAGAGGCAGAAGAGCTACCAAACCAGCCTGCTTCCAGGGAGTGCAGGCTAAGATTGGTCAGGTCCAAGGGCAGTGGCTGCTGTAGCATGGTGGATCCATGCTCCTTGTTGCTGGGTTAAGGTTCCTGTAGGCTCAGCTCTGCCTTTTGCTGAGTTCACTCCTTCATTCCTGGCTCAAGCTCCTGATCAGGGCCTGTGGCCTCTTGGCCCAGAGCTGGAGCAACGAGCTGCCTACCCTCTCCCCTCACACCACAAGGGTGCTGGTTGGCCATATGACCACACAACCAGTCTCGAGAACAGAGGGCGATGACCTGCAAATAGGCAGAGGTTTGGTCTCATCATGGCCCTGGGCCATCTGAGGGTGGAGCAGGAAACCAGGTAAGGCTACCACAAGAAGGGATGACTGTCCAGGGCAAAAGCTGCAGCTGCCCAACGTATCTCCTCTGACCCAATGCCCTTCACTGTGGAGGCTAAGAAAGCCAGTCCCAGTTCTCTAGCTGAGACATCTCCAGCAACTCACTTGATTTTTCTGTGCCTCAGTTTCTCTGTCTATAGATTGAGGATAGTAATGGCATCTGCCTCTTAAGGCGGGTGCTAGAATTAAATTAATTAATACCCACATTGTGTTTAGAACAAGGTGTGGCACATAGCAATGGTGCTAACTGTTGTTATTATTTATTACTCTCTGCAAGGTGAACCTCTGTTCAAGGCCCGTGTTTTCCCTCCCACAGTTGTCAGCAGGATCGTGGTCCCTCCTTGGTTCTGGACCACACTTGCAGGGCAGGGTTCCACACACCACTGGGTCCCCAGCCCTGGCAGGCCTCCAATCCCTGTGGTGGTGCAGCTGCCTGAGCCCCGTGTCCCTCTCAGGAGAAAATGCACAAGCTCTTGGAGGTATACGAGAGACTGGGTGGGGAGGAGGACATCGTCAACCCTGCGAACGAGCTGATCAAGGAGGGCCACATCCAGAAGCTATCAGCCAAGAATGGCACGACCCAGGACCGCCACCTCTTCCTGGTGAGCCCCCAACCGGTCACACCCAGCCCTGCCCAGTCCTGCCCAGCCCAGCTGCAGAACCACGCCCCTGCCACGCCACACCCAGCCCAGCGGCAGAGCCTGGGCCTACCCAGCCACTCAGCCACACCCTCACCCAACCCAGGCCCAACCAGCTGCAGAGCCCCGCCCCACCACTAAGCCACTCCCCCAGTCCAACCCCCAGCGTGCCCTCACCACTCCCACATTCAGCCCAGCCCCGCCTAGCCCTGCCCACTCTTGCCAGAGCCACGCCCCACCTCCTCCCTGGGGTGCTCCTCTGTGGAGTCAACCGCCCCTCACCCCATACGTGCCCGTCACTATCGCAGTTCAACAGCATGATCCTTTACTGTGTGCCCAAACTGCGGCTCATGGGCCAGAAGTTCAGTGTCCGGGAGAAGATGGACATTTCCGACCTCCAGGTGGGTGAGCCCCTCCCACCGATCTGTTCCCCTGAGAAAGCACAGAGCAGGTGTAGGGACACAGCGCTTTAGCCACCAAAGTACTCACTGCTGTGCAACTGATTGCCTGCCTACTTCTCTGAGCCTTGCTTCTATCCTGACCCAGGCATGGGGGAACATCTCTGAGGGCGCCATGGCCTAGCATCCTGGGCTGAATGGGCAGGATCCCCTGTCCCTCCACTTGGCCTACCTGCCAGTGCGCTGCCGGCTTCATGTTGGCGGGATGAAGGGCAATGCCAGGACCTGGGCCATCCCCTGTCCCCTGTGAAGTCAGCCCTAAGGGCCCCACTTACAGACTCTAAGGGAAACTTGGGGTGAATGCAGATGGGGTGCCCATCCTGCCTGTTCCCTTGTCCTTGGTCCATGCTCTCTCCACTCCTGCACCAATTTGGAGCCCAGATGAGGTTCTGCAGGCACTTGTACCCAAGGTCCAGATGACCTGTTGTCCCTGCTGTCCCTATTCCTTGCGTCCATTGATGTCTCGTGCTGTGGGGCTGCTGGAGCTGGAGTCAGTCCCCCTCTTCTGTGGGAGAGTGCTTTGAATTAACGGGCACTCCAAAAATACTGGCTAAATCAAAGTATTTCTTTATTCTAAAAAGTGAAGTGTTGCATTAGTGATACAAAAAAATCCCTTCTGACAGTGGCCAGCCTGTGGGCCACATCCAGCCAAGGGCTGTGGGAGTAGAGTGTTTAGGGGATGAGGGAAGGCTCCCTGTTGCAGACACCTGCAGATAGAAGGTACCTGCCCATGGGGCCTCAGAAACCCCGGCAGGGTAGTGGAGATCCTCCTGGCTCTTCTCCTAAGATTCCCATCCCTGTGTTGGGAGTGCCTGTGGGTACCTTTGTGGGGAAAGGCACTGGGGCTGACTTCCTGGGAAGCCCTGAGAGCAGGCAGATTTGGCCGGCACAGTTCCAAGAACAGTGAATGAGCGGTTCTAGCCCTGCCTGAGCAGGTCGGTGGTCCACCCTCCACCATGGACTGACTCATGGAGTGGCCCGCAGCAACCATGACCCTAAGCCGAGCACTTCCCTGCAGACTCACTGGGTCACCTCTCCCCACCCTTCTCAGGGAAAGGCCTCCAAGTCTGAGAGTGTGAGTCCGCAGTTCAGGACCTGCTAAAAGTGACCTACTGTTTTTGTTTTGTCCTTTGTTGTATGCCTTCAGGTGCAGGATGTCGTCAAGTCAAATGCAGCCTACACATTCATCATAACTGGAAAGAAAAGGTCCCTGGAGCTACAAACTCGGTAGGTTTCAGCTGCCTTGGTGTCTGCTGCTGTGTGAATATGTTTGACCTGAAATTTTAGCAGATGGCTTCCTTTTCTAAACTGGATAAACTTTCGATGTGTTTGTGTTCATTTTACTCGCTTATTTGTGGTTTAAAATGTAACAGTACTAAGGGGAAGTCAATGAAAATTAAGCCTCTGCCCACACCCTGTTCCCCACCCCCAGCAGACATTCTTAACCATCTCTGAAGTATTCTTCCGGAATTTCTGTCCCCATACATATGTATCTATTTTTAATTTTATTTATTTATTTTTAAAAATAAATTTATTTATTTATTTTTGGCTGTGTTGGGTCTTTGTTGCTGTGCGCAGGCTTTCTCTAGTTGCAGCGAGCAAGGGCTACTCTTCGTTGTGGTGCGCAGGCTTCTCATTGCGGTGGCTTCTCTTGTTGCAGAGCACGGGCTCTAGGGCGCATGGGCTTCAGTAGTTGTGGCACGCGGGCTCTAGAATGCAGGCTCAGTAGTTGTGGTGCATGGGCTTAGCTGCTCCACGGCATGTGGGATCTTCCCAGACCAGGGCTCGAACCCTTGTCTCCTGCATTGGCAGGTGGATTGTTAACCACTGTGCAACCAGGGAAGCCCTGTATTCTATTTTTTAAATCACAGATGACCATTTTCTATCTAGTCTGTTCTGCATCTTGCTTTTTTCATTTAATTTATCAGAAATCATCCCATATATGAGCACCATTTTCTAAAGCAGCATAATTTTCCAATATGATCGTTGGCTGGTTCCCATTGACGGGCACCTAGGTCCTCTGGGGTCTTGCTGTCGCAAATGGTGCTGCAAGCAGTGTCCATGAACCAAGTTTCGTACATATGTGTCGTTACGTCCATCTGGTAGATTCCTGAAGTAAAATTGCTGGCCAAAGGGTAGCATGTCCACTTTAAATTTTGGTGGTTGTTGTCACACTACCCTGTAAGATGGTGCGTGACTTGTGGCGGGGCTTGGGAGAGCCCATCTCTCACTTCCGCCAATGACGTGAGATCTTTGCAATGACCCATTGTGGCCCACCGAAGCGTTGGTTTACATCCACTGCAGAGGGCTCTGCATACCAAGCTTACCACATCTAGCCACATCTGACTTCATCTGGCCACACCTGACCCCACCTGCACCCACAAGGCCACACTTAACTCCACCTGGCCACACTTGACCTCGCCTGACTGCACCTGGTGGTACTGGCCACAGTGTTCCAGAGCCTTTGGGGCCGCTCTCCCAAGCCGTGAGTTGCCCTTCCAGGCAGTGAGCAGCACAGGCATGTACTTCAGGGCTGAGAGGAATCAGGTGGTTTAGAGTCAGTATCCAAGACTAAATGAATAAAATACTCTTTTGGCTTTTATAGGACAGAAGAGGAAAAGAAAGAATGGATTCAGGTGAAGCTCCTAAAGTTTTAAAGTAACCAAATGACCAAATTCTTGAGCGGTATGGCCATTTCATGTTGGAGCAAGGGATGGGATGGCCCCGTGTCCCCCCCAGGTATTACCCACCCACCTATCCACCTTGAAGTGATGGGGTGGCCAAGTTTATAAGCACCTTCGGACTCCACAAACCTTTGAATCCATTCTCTTATTTGGGGCTCCCCAGTAAACAAATAAACATAAAGGCCTGGAGGTGGACATGCAGGGAGGTGCCCTCACCCTGGGGAAGATCTCCACTGTCTGGCAGCTCCAAGGTGGGTCCTTGTTGTCCCTCTCTCCATGGCTGGCAGGAGCGGTGGGTCTTGCAGGACGAGCAGCTTGACTTCCAGGACGGAGCCTGTGCTTCCAAAGACAGGCCAGGCAGTGTCCTGGGGCAGCCAGAGCAGGCTCAGCTCAGAACCAGCCATGGTAGGGACACAGGTCAGGAGGGCCACGTCAGAGCGGAGGCCAAGGCAGTGACCGGGGTTGGCAGACCACCACCAGGCCAAACGCTAACCATTAGTGATGGTTAGCCACCATTAGCGGCTCCCAAAATTCATAACACAGAAATCTGAGTGAGAAGAGAAAAAGGAAATTCAAACAGATATTAGATGGGAATGCTGTTGCAGGAAGTGGAAACATGGCCTCGAATCCATATAAAATGTTCCAAGAGCATCTGCCCGTGGCTTGGAGTACTGCATGTGGGGTGGCACTGGGACCCATGGAGATTGGAGTGGGGACCTGGTCAGTCACTGAGCACATCCCTGAGCCTTGTTTCCTCATCTCAGAGGACATGTGAGGCTGTTGGTCAGGGGAAAACGCAATGACCACGGGACCCTTGTCCTCACCCTCCTGGAATGCTCTCTGAGGGCCCTTGTTCTCTGTGGTTTTGTTTCAGGTCATTGAGGCCACCATTGAGAAGCACAAGCAGAACAGCCAGACTTTCAAGGCCTTCAGTGGCTCCTTCGGCCAGGATGAGGATTCCTCCCTCACTCCAGACCCGCCTGTGAGTGCCAGTGTCCCTGGGGCAACCCAGGCCCTTTGCACAAGGACTGGTGTTTGGGGGGGAAGCTGGTCCCCATGCTCTCATGCCCACCTTTATTGAGCATCCATGTGGGGACGCCTGTACCTTATAGCTGGGGTGGTCAACGCTTGGACAGGAGGGAGGGAAAGACAGGCCTGGATAAAGCTGCTACATGAGGCATTGTCCTATCACATGCACCTAGGGGCTGTGATCTTATCAGCAGGGGTAGCTTGCTCCCCATGGGAAGCTGTCCCCAGGCCTGGGGGGAGCCAGGAAGCAGGATCCCCACCCAGGGCCAGATGGGTCCCCCCTAGGCCTTGGCCATCCCCTCTGTCCAGGTACAACCAAACATGACTTCACAGTGAGGGTCCCTCACTCCATGCCTCAGGGACATCCCTGAAGCTAAGGGATACCCAGCCCAGCCTGGCTGAGCAGCCCTGAGTCCCAGACACCAGGCCGGGCTGGCCCTCCCTGTGGTCTCACTGGTCTGTGGGCCACAGGCCACCTCATTATCCACTTAATATTTGCATCAAATCTCCATTTTGTCTGCTTTCTGGACTATTTTAGAAGAAAACTTTGTGTTGTCCCCGGGCAGGGAAAGTACTGTCCCCTACTTTGAAAAGAGGTGACCTGGAAACAGAACCCCCCACCCCACCCCATACCTGCCATTAAAGTTGGTGCAGGGACAGAGCCTGACCATAGAAGGCAGGGCACCGAGCTCTCCACAGATGCCTGAGGAAAGCTAGAGGCCAGGGCCACCTCACTTGGTGTGATGCAGCTGGTTAGGCCTGGTGGGCCTCAAGGTTCATACCTGCCTACCGCCCTCCACCCCAGCTGGGAAATGATAACTCTTCTGAGATGCCTTCAGGCCAGGGAGGACAGATTCCCAAAGTCATAGCAAACACCAGGCCCCGACAGTCTTCCTCCTGACCCTGTGACCAGACAGAAGGAATGGTGGCATTCCAACGCTGCATTGGATGTCAGCATGTGGCCACAGAACCTCTGCTCATGCCAGCTGTCTTGTCCCCTCCAGATGGTGAGCGCCAACTCAGAGGTGCCTGCAGCGGTAGCCACTGGTGGAGGGGGTGCTGCAGGGGTGAGTGACCCCCCCAGCTTTGACAGGGGTGGGAGGTGGAAGTTGGGGTCAGACCAGGGTGACCTGAGGGTGAGGGTTTAGCCTCCGCCTTCCATGTGACCTGGGTCCTCACAGTGATGGCCTCTGGGGCCTGTTGGTGGAGGGCTGGGGCAAGCCCGCTGGGACCCAAATGTCCATTTCCTTGGGTGGGTGAAGGTTACGCAGCTGAGTTCTTCTGAAGACTTGTGCTCTTTACCACAGGTAAAGTATGCCTGGATGAAATGTGGATCAAGGCGGTACCTGGCCCTCAGGAGGCTCAGTCAATGTGGGCGGAGAAGGCGTGGTCCAGGGTCAGATAGCCTGTGTGCATGTCCCCACCCTGACAGGGCCAGGCCACGGGACTATGCCCGAGTCCCTCCTGCTCTGTCAGTTTGGGAGATTAGTAACAGGGTAAATGTGTGCGCCTCACATGCAATGAGTATCCAGTACAGGGAAGCATCATTATTAACCACTGGGCCTAATAGTCGTGAAGTCTGATGACAATTATAAGCCTAGACTACCAAGGAGCTGCTGTACCCTGCATCCTGAGAGGGGATTCTCCTGGGCATCTTTGCTTTGCCCTATCCCTGAATTTTCCAGGCTCAGAAGGAATGAGTGGAGGCCTGAGCCCCAGCCTGACCCCTAACAGGGGGTTTGCTCCTAAAGGGGAACTTCTTCCATGGGTAGGTCGGTACTGCCCCCACATTCTCTCCACTGGGCCTGCCTCTCCTTCCCTCCCCCTGACTTCTCTTTCTCACATCCCTCATCTGGGCCAGCACTCCCTTGGTGGCAGGTGCCCCCCAGTTGGACAGCAAAGTCTGCCTGAATTTAGCACCAACTTGCAGAGCTCCTTCTTTCCTGGCTACAAGGGCCACCCTGCTGGTCATCACAGCCATTCTGGGTTGGCACTTGTTAGGGTCAACCCATTTTAGGAATAGGAAACGGGCTTGATAGGTGAGGAGACCTGGCCTTTTGCTCAAAGGCCTTGTGGTGGGACTTGACTTTCCTGGGACAGCAGCAGAGGGAGGGACGGATGTCTAGCTCATCACGGGGAGTAAATGTTCCTGTCCTGGCTTAGATTTTTAGTAAGAAAACTAGTCCCCTCCTCCCACACAATCCATGCTGCTGGGTAGCATTGGGCCCCAGCTGAGGCCCCAGAACAGGTGTGCCCAGATGCTCCAGTCCCCTGCTCTGTTACAAGAGCAGAAGCTTTGCCAGGTCACCACACGACCCCTGACCCGATGTGTCTCTGACTGCCAGGCACTGGGAAAACCTTGAGGAGTTTTTGGGCTCCCATGGAGGGATGGAGCATTTCTAGGGCATGATGGGCTTCAGGGACCAAGTGAGAGGAGGGAACCCCCTTATTTGAGTGCTACTGCTGCCACAGGGTGGCACTGCGAGAACCAAAGGGAGTCTGTGCTAATTTGTTTGAACTCAGTCAGGAAATCTGAAGGCAGCATTATCAGCAGGGGAGAGATGGTCTTGTCACAGCCCCTCAAACTCCCTGAGGGGCTTCCTGCATTGTGGCTCTGTCTGGCCCTGCCTTCCTTCCAGCCCACCCTCCCCCACCATGCCCTGGCCTCCCTCACTTGGCCATGTCCCAGGGCCTTTGCACCTGCTATCCCCTCTGTGCAGAATGCCTCAATTATGCCTACTGTGCCCCAAGGCCTCATCTGTGAAGCCCTCGCAGCTGACCCCAGAGTCACTGACAAGTGTTTCTCACATGAAGCAACCCAGCATCAGCTTTCTGAATCACCAGACTGTGCGTGTGAGGCTGGCAGTGTGCTATTGGGCTCCTTTCTGGAACGTCTAGGAACATCGTGAAAAGCAGCTTGCACACTCAAGCTTCATCTGTGTAACTAACTGCCCAGAGAAAAATGACACATGGGGCCTCTTCAGCTTTCCAATCAGCTCCAGGGTCCCTTGGCCAGGGTCTCTGACAACCTCCATGATGGCCCTTTGCATGAAGCACAGCTTCTCCCTGTCTCTGCAGAGGAGCTGAGCTGGACCCCCTGCAGGGCCCTCTGCTATCCGACCCTTGGCCTGGGGCATGCCGGAAGGCATCAAGGGCCGTGAGCAACCCCCACTCTTTGTAGGGTGAGTCCACAGGCAGGCCTCAGTCCATGGATGCAGGGTAAAGTAGAAGTGGCTGTGGGCTGTGTGGTCAGGGAGACAGGGCTGAGGAAGATCCAGTGCCAAGGCAGAGACAGAGGAGCAGGAGGTGGGGCTGGCACACACGACAGGCAGTGCCCATCGGAGAATGTTCTAGCTGGAAGGGACCTGAAGGTCACATGTTTAATGTTTTAACACGTGGAGTGGGTCCTGACATGAGGCCTTGGGCAACTCCTCCCCCTCTGCCCTCACCTTCCCTTGGGTGGGGAGAAGAGAGAGAGAAGCTGTGTCAGGTGTCTGTTGGCCACTCGGGTGCCCCTCCGATTGGTTGCCCAACTCCTTTGACAGGTGAAAAGGTAGCTACAAGCCCCTGAGGCTCAGGGCCTCAGCGCAGTCCAGGGGTCTGCCCAGGCCAGGCTGCAGACTTGCTGTGCATCGATGGCAACGCTCAGCCAGTGGATATGCAGGCCACCCCACCTTCTTCTACCCAGGGGCTCAGGCTTCCAAGGGCTCTGAAGCATCATTGACTTGCCAGATGCTTGGGATCACAATTTAAGTTCAGGCCTCCTTGTCCCAGTTCCTTTATCTACCCCAAGCCAGGCCCAGGCCCTACAATAGACAAACGCTTGTCAGCAACAGACTTGCCGCTCCGGCCCCGGCACACATGGCCCGGCCATGGTTTTTCTCATTTGTGTTTCTGACGAGCACAGGTTTCGGTGGACCCAGGAGGGCAGCTCAGTGAAGCTCCTGCCATACAGGGCGAGTCCGAGATGTGCTCAGTGGATATTTGTGGAAAGAACCCCAAAGTGGGTTTTAATTCTGACACTAGAAAGAGTGATCTTTGCTACAACATGCCAGATGTAAGCTTTTGGAGAGGAAATGTACACTCACTCTTGATGTGCTCATTTGATTTCCTGGTGCTGTCCTCAGACGCACAGTTCCCACTAGGCCCTCTTTCCTAAGAAAAGCTAAACCCAAACCAGGAAGTTTTGCAAGGGAGTCTTGCAGAATCCAAAGACTTCCCCGTTCTGCAAAAGTTGTGTCTCTCTTCACGGAAGCACAGAAATGTCAAGGCCTCCCTGGGCTCCAGAGCCACCATGGCAACATATGGACCCTTCCACGATGTCGTGAAAGGCCCCATCCCTGCCACCCGTCGTTCAGCATGCACGAACTTAGTGCTGCCCTTCCACCCCAAGCCCAGGACAGGGCTGCCTGTGAAGGGCAGAGGGCCTGGGCTGCACCCACCACAGGGCCGGGCCTAAGACCCGGGCCTATGTCCACACCCTTTAGGACTGATGATAACTGTGTGGCTCCATCTTCTGAGGCTGGTTGTCAGGGCCACTGTTTGGGACCCAATTCTTACCTGAATTTTCCTCCTGCTTCCCTGCTTTGTAAGTGAATCTGCTGAAGAGAAAACGTTGAATAAAACAGGCCCTCAGCACAGACCTCCCAGGCCCACGCTTGTGCATTTGGAGCGCTTTGGGTGAAGTCGCTTGGCTGTTACTAGGGAAGCCACGGTTCCACACCTCCCTGGTTAGACTTGGCCCAGGCCTTTCCAATGTCTCCACATCCAAAAAGAAAATCTGAGCCCCTCCCTTTGGTTGACTTATTCTATATCCTCATCCAAAAAGGAAGTATGGTTGGCCAGGAAGACCTGTCCTCAACGTTGCAGGTGGGCTCACCTCAGCCACCTGGTCACCAGCCCTTGGTGTCGGGAACTGCCTGGGGGAGCTGCATCAAGCATGGGCCATGGTGGCTTACAGTCTTCAGCACCGAGGAAGCTGGTACCCAGCCAAGAAAGCTGGTACTCAGACCCTGTCTGATCACCGAACTGCAGCCTAAAAAAAGGAAGCCAGGATGGGTCGCTCTTCCAAGCCCCAGCCCTAAGATGCCCAGCTCTAGGAACTGCCCTCTGGTCCCTCTGACCAGGACGGGGTCCCTGCTGACCTTCAGCACCTGAGCTCTTGGCCACATACCCCTGACCCGCTACAGCCTCTCCTCCATCTTGTGGGCAGCCCTGCCCCTCAGGGATGCCCCAGTAGCCCCCAGGGCCGCTCTGGGTTCTCAGCAGTTGTGCAGCGCTGTTCTCAGGGTCTGGAGAGCCCAGGTTCTGCAGCACATGTAAGTGCTTGAAGGCAAGACGCGGATCCAGCCACCTGCCACTGACCACTCCCACCTCGAGTGCCCTTGGTGTCCTCACCTGGAAAACAGGCATGGCAGGGTCACCATGAAGGTTGGTAGAGGGCTGAGGCTCCTGGGCCACAGCAGACCCAGGGATGGCCCCTCCTCTCTCTTCTCATGTCTGAGCCCCAGCAGTCCTGAGAGATGGTCTCAAGGGGAGGAGCCCTGAGTGGGGCAGACAGATGTGCCTCAGGGCTAGAGTGTGGCTGGCAGCCAAGGCCGGGTGACAGGGGTGGCCTCCAGTAAGGCATGTGGCTGTGCGGAGCGTCAGTATTGCTTGTCGTGTCTGTGCCACCCATTTTCCACCCACAGGGCTCTGTGGTCCTGAGCTGCATGGAATAAACCGAGAGGGGGCCCAAGGTTTTCTTACACCCAGTGTCCATGGGGTCAGGGGTCATGAGATGGAGGAGGAGGGTGATGGGGTCTTGGACAGAGCAAGCGTCCCTATCACCCTCAGAGGCACCAGCTGGTCCCAGGGCTCCTCGTACCAGGGGGCCAGCACTGGCCTCACAGTGGTGGGGCCCACAGTGGGGTCTATGAGCAGAGGCAGCAGAGCTTGGAAGCATAGGCCAGAATTAGTGTGCTCAGGCTACCTAACAAAGTGCCACAGACACTTATTCTCTAACAGTTCTGAAGGCTGGAAGTCCAGGATCGAGGTGTTGGTAGGGCTGGTTTCTCCTGAGGCCTGTCGACTTAAAGAAAAACACACAACTTAGAGTTGAGTTTCAGTTTTACTCAGGATCTTACTGAGGACTATAGCCTGGGAGACAGCTCTGAGGAACTGCTTGTAAGAGGGAGGGGAGGAGCCAGTATATGTACGAATTTTTTGGCTAGGAAATACATGTAGTCAAGCATACATTTTGGTAAAAGATTCCTGCTATATCACAAAGAGCAGATATCTTAAGCTAATACTTTTAAGTGATTTTCTCTGCATGGGAAGATGCAAGAATCTGGGGTCACTGAAATTCTTTCTGAGATGTGCCTCTATCTCGGGGCCTGTTTCTCCAACACACAGAATGCCTCATCTTGTTTTTTTCATCCTGAATTCCCTCCCGGGTGCACTGTCGTGGGTGACTGCAGTGGGTGCATCTTAACCCTTATATAACTGGATGATGAGTGGCACTCTTTGTTCTTCTTTTGTTCACAGGCCTCTCTCCTTGGCATGTAGATAGCCATCTTCTCCCTGTGTCCTCACATAGTCTTGCCTCTGTGTGTGACCATGTCCTAATCTCCTCTTCTTATAAGGACACCAGTTATATTGGATTAAGGCCCACCCTAGTGACCTCATTTTACCTTAATCACCTCTTTAAAGGCCCTCTCTCCAAATACAGTCACATTCTGAGGTGCTGGGGGTTAGAACTGCAAACTATGACTTTTGGGGGACACAATTCAGCCCGTAACAGCCTCCAATGCCCAAGCCCCTCCCTTCTGTCTCCCTCACCCCCAACTAGTGCATCTCTTTCTCCTTAAACTTGCAGAGTTTATATTAAACATATTTTTAGCTTATTTTGTTCAAATTTTTATTAGGGAAGCTTTGGACACACACAAGTAGAAATAACAGACGGCGAGACCCCCCACACCAGCCTGGAGCAACTTCAACTTTGTGCTGTTCATGTTTTACCTGTCTTTCCACCCCTATCCTCACCCCACCCCCACATACTCTTCTTTCTTCTGGAATATTTTAAAACAAATCTCAGACCTCATTTTATTCTGCTCAGAAACACTAATGTTAAACTTATTTTAAGTGTTTCTCTTTTAAACAGAAAAATTGTCTCTGGGCCTCAGTTTCCCCATCTGTGCAGGGGAGAGGTTGAGACAAGCACTTCCAGTAGCCATTCTAGCTCTGACATTCTGGGGAATTTGATACATATCTGTGACATTTCTTAAAATCTTAAGTTTGTGGTGAATTGACTCTGTTTTCTGCTGGGACCCCAGCGCCCCCTACCCACCCAGAGAGGAAATGCTAAGGGGCTGGGGGGGTTCAAAGCTAGAAAGCTGTTTCATCAAACAACGGGGCATTTCCTGAGAGCCATGGTAACATGTAAGGGCAATCAGCAAAACCAGTCAGGATTCTTGTGCTGTGATGGGGTTCAGGGCCAGGGGCGGTTCCTCACCCCACTTTACAGATGAGGAAATCAAGCTTGGAGAGGAGAAGTGACTTGTGCAGGGTCTCATGGCTGATGAGGGGCAGGGCAAGGGCCTGGGAGCTGTCCCCCAACTTGCACCACTCCTAATCATATGGGGAAACCTAATCAGACAGCGCTACTGAGCCCCCACCCCAGCCTCACCCTGCATGGTCGGTGCCCACTCCCACCTTCACTCCCTCCTGCCTCCTGCTCACCTCCCAAGCCCTTGCATCTGGTGGGGCTGGGGTCCTGGACACGACTGATGTCACTATGGCCAGGGGTAGGCAGCCAGAGTGGACCACATAGGTTCCCTCACCCAGCTCTCAAACCGCTGTCCACAGTGCAGAGGGAACACAGTCCTCAATGGGAATGTGAGGCAGGAGGTGGGGGGGTTAGGGGGGCTGGTCAGTGAGTGGCTGGTTTGCTTTTCTACGTGTCTATTGGTTTTCTTCCTCTTTCACAAGCTGTTCTTGGTGAACACTTGAGAAAATCCAGATAAGAGAGTAGATAAGAGTTACTCTACCCCAAACAGCCAATAAGATCATCAGGTGTGCTTCCTTCCAGTCTTCTTTTCATGCACGTACTCTTTTTGGTATAAACATTATACGCTACTGTACATTATTTTGCAACTTGCTTGTTTCCCTTAGCAATATAACTTGACACCTTTAAACAGTCTTCCAACATGTCGCCTTGACATCTACCTCCCATGTATGATTTATATACCTGTTCCTTAGTTTTAGACTGCATTAGATTTTTTAAAATTTGTAAATATGTTTAACTAAAAAAGGAATAAATACTTTTTTAAAAAAAAAAGTAAAGTGATAGAATAAAATGAAAACCTCTCTCCCACTGCTGCCTGCCACTCTCCAATTCCTTTTTGCTCCAAGGAGTTTGATGTGGTTCTTGTAAAACTTTTTGAGAAACCTTACACAAAACAGCTTGTTTAAACGTAAAAGAAAACAAACAAACAAAAAAGAAGTAAAAGCATTTTATAGTGTGTTCTTGTGACTAGTCTTAAAGATCTTCTAACCTCTCTGAACACACACCATGTTTAATGACTTCCCGTTGTCTTGCTGAAAGGACTCATCACTGCCCTCTTTTGTGGGAAATTCAGGCAGCATCGGAGGAGATAGAGAGGGGAGTCCAGCCCCTGACCCTGCTCCCACCCCTGGAGAGTGCTCTCACACGTGTTGGGCGGGCAACTGCACACCTCTGAGTGCCTGGCATGGAGCAGGGACCATGCTCTGGGGTCCAATAAAGGGCAGAGCATGGAAGCAAGGGCCACCTGGCTGGATGCTGGGTGCGGACACCCCAGTCCTTGGCGTCTGGGCTCCTGTGCAGAGCAGCCACCGTTTCCCCCAGTGTGGGTTCCGGTTGTTATCTTTGCAGACACGCAAAGTCACTGACCTCCATGGTGGGACAAGTCATTCCAAGCATAGAGTTCCTGTTCCCCTTGGAATCTCACCCCGTGTGACAGCAGGGCAGCTTCTGGGGAGTGAGGCTGGGCAGGGGGCCATGGCCAGGGTGGCTCCTGCTTAATTCCCTTCTGCACGTCCGGCTTTCTTGCCCTGTATGTGCATTGCCTGTGTATCGCACAGCTGCCACTCCACATGCGCTGGGAAGCTGACTGCAGCCGTTTGCCTCCCACAGCTTGAGCCCAGGAGAGGGTCGTCTAAGACCAGACGTGACAAGGAGAAGCAGGGCTGCAGCAGCTGCGGCGAGACCTTCAACTCCATCACCAAAAGGAAGCACCACTGCAAGTTGTGCGGGGCGGTGAGTCCAGGTGGGAGGAGGCCAGCTGCTGGGACCTCCATGTGCTTAGTTCCTCCTCCAAATCTTCTTTCCATGCACACAGACCCCTGGATCCTGGAACTTCTGAGCAAGAAGTCAGGCTCTGGAGGCCCAGCAGGGGCCAGACTTGGGGTCTCTGCCCTGTGGACAAGGCTCCCGACTCCCATGGCTCACAGACAAGCCCTTCCCCTCCACAGGCCTTTACACCTCTCCTTCCAGCCTCCTTCTGGATAGTCTTCTGTCCCTGGGCATTGGGGTCACAGGTGCCCTTGTCTTGCAGGTCATCTGTGGGAAGTGCTCCGAGTTCAAGGCCGAGAACGGCAGGCAGAGCCGTGTCTGCCGAGAGTGTTTCCTGACCCAGCCGGTGGCCCCCTCGAGCCCCAGCCTCGAGGAGCCCTTGGAGCCCAAGCAGAGCACAGAGGTGGGTGGGCTGGGGCTGGTGAGCCTTCCAGACACAAGACCCCAGAAGCCTTGACAGACTGTGCTCCTAGTGCTGTCGCCTTCCCTGGGACCAGGACTGGTAGGGCTCAGTTGGGTCCATAGGCCACTGAGAGCAGCTAGCAGTTGAATGCCAAATATCACGTGTGTGCGTGTTGGGCTCTTAGGATCCAGTCATGGCCGAGAGCTTGGGAACCATTTGCACTCAGGAGTTAGATGGTGCATTAGTCAGCTCAGGCTGTGTAACAAATACCACAGGATGGACAGCTTAAACAACAGAAACTTATTTCCTCATAGTCCTGGAGGATGTGAATGTGTGCGGTGTGTGATGTTGTGTGTGAGAGGTGTGTGTGTGTACAGGGAAATCATCCACAGCTGCCACATTCTGGTTCCCTGCTGTTCCATTTTTTCCTACCTTATCTTTATTTCTGTCCTGACCCTTCTTGTGGTCTCACTGCCTAGAAGGTCCAGCCCAATCCCAAGTGGCCTTGCAGTGACCCTGGGGAAGCTCAGGCTGGCCCAGGCCTTGTCCAGTCTGTCTCCCCCTCCTCTCTCCCCCCAGAGCTTCAGCCTTGGTGCTTCCTGCAGAGTGGCTCTTACAAGGGAGACTCCACCTGACTTGTCCTCTGTGTCCCCAGAAGCCAGCCACGGTGGACCCCCCGCCCAGCCTGCTCTGTGGCCCCCTGCTGGTGTCGGATGGCGGCACAGCCTGGAGCAAGGTGTGGGCTGCCATCTCTGAGTCGGACTCCCTGGAGTTGGTGCTGCACCTTCGAGGCGGCAGCCAGGTGTGTCCTCTGAACGCTGGGCCGCACTGGGGGTGGGGGTCCACCCTGCTCCGGCAGCCCACAGCCTCAAGCCCGTGGCGCCCAGATAGGCCTGAGCCATGCAGCCTGGGCCCAACCCCACGTGGTGGGTGGCTCATGTGACCCTAGGGCCTCAGTTTCCCCGGCTGTCCAGAATCACCCTTCTGCTGCCCACTTGTGGGGCCATTTAGTGATGCCAGGACTCCAGAGGCCGGAGTGCTGACGCTCCTCTCCTCTCCTGCAGGATGGCCAGCTGCTGCATGCCATCCCCCTCTCTGGCTGCAGGGTGAGTGTGCCAGACCCCGCAGAGAGGCTGGATGCTGGACACATGTGGCAGCTGCAGCAGGCCCAGCAGTCTTTGTACCTGAGTGCCCCGTCCGCCGAGCTGCAGCAGCAGTGGTTGGAGGCCCTGAGCTCAGCAGCCCACGGGCATCTGGCCCAGGCCAGCCCAGGGGCCCAGCAGCCCCAGGCCCCAGCTGCCCCATGAGCTGAGTCTCTGCCGTGTCTCCTAGCTGAACAGCCACCGTGGCAGGGCCTGTACTCATCTGAGAGGTGGCATCAGGCCACATGCAGGCATGAAGGGAGCCTGGATTGCTGAGGGACCAACAGGCCACATAGCACTTGGCCCTGGAGGGTTCCTCCATGTCAGAGAGGAGAAAAGTGAGGCCCAAACAGGGGCAGCCAATTGCCCAGGGTCACCCAGCACGTCCCTCAAAGACCCGGGCCTCTGCCTGTAGGCCCAGAAGTGTGGCCCAGAGTGAGGCGTGGGGTGACTGTCAAGAAAACTCCGAGTGGGCAGTGAGGGGTCATCTGCGCCGGAAGACAGAAGGAGCTCATGGGTGGTGCCCAGGGACACCTGGTGGATGTCTGCAGTCATGCCACCCCTCCTGATGGTTGCCCACCCATCTATACCATCTACATCCATGTGAGCTGAACCATATTGGCCCCCTGGACTCCTCCTCTCTCCTCTTTCCTCTCCCGGGGACTGGGCACACCCTGTGCCACCTCGTAGCTCGCCACCCCATTTGGAGATGCCCAAGGGAGCGAGTGGTGGGTTCCTGAATAGCCATGCTGCGAAACTACAGGGGGACCACACAGGCGTCGTGATTTGTGGCCTGAGATTTGTGCCTGCCTCCCCTGGTCGGTGGTGGACAGTGCTTATCTACATAAATAAATGCTGGCAGCCAACAGGTGGACGCAGCCTTGGGGCAGGGTCTCCCCACAGTGGGCCTGGTTGGCTGGAGAATGAGGGTAACAGATGGGCACAGCCGGTCATGATGCCCTGGACCCCAATCCAGGCCTGCAGGGTGCAAGTAACACCCCTGTGGGTGCCCCAGGATGTAGCGGCATTAGACAGGGTGCCATGCCTGGAGACCTGCTCTGTGTCCCTGGTCATGCTAGTGAGGTAGACAGGGCCATTTGCCCCTGTAGCAAGTGGAGCCAGACTTAGATACGGGATCGTGGGAGTGCTGGCTACTCACAAAGATGTCAGGAAGGTCTATTTGCACCAGAGCCCCGAGGGCCTTGAGGGAGAGCAGAGGGACCTAGGAACTGATGACTGAGGGGTGTCCAGTCCCTTGGGACCCCCATCCCTCTAACATCCGCAAGGCACCCTGAAGGGATGCCTGTCACTGCCCAGCCATGGGCAGACTTGCAGGGCACATACCTGTGGGCTGAGAGGGTCATTGTGGGAACCAGAAATGGATGACTGGTCATGGGTGAGGCAGGGGTGGGGCCCAGGCAAGGAGTGACAGGGCACAGGTGAGGTGCTCAGGGCACAGGTGAGTTGGGACCCAGGTGAAGTGGGCAGGGCCCAGGTGAGGTGGTCAGGGTCCAGGTGAGGTAGGACAGGACACGGGTAAAGTAGAGACCCAGGTGAGGTGGGCAGGGCACAGGTGAGCTTAGGCATGAGTCAGCGCTGTCCCCCACATACCCACCCTGCTATGCTTGGATGCTGCTGCAGCTGTATACCTGCTGCATACCTGGGCCTCAATCCTGCATCTGTGAGAGCTCACCACCCTGCAGTGGGTGTTCTGAAGCTGCTTGATACCAGCAACTTGCCCACTGGGAAGGGGAGGCCAGGCCCTTCCAACCGTGCTCTTACTCAAGGAAATACAGCAAAGTCCCTGCCCATGGAGCCAAGGCAGGGACAGCAGGTGTCAGAGGCATTGAAGGGACCTGGAGCCCAGCCGGCCTCTTCCCGCTGGGCCTGCCCCTTCTCCCTCGGAGCTCTGCTCTCTGCCTCATGCACTGACTGAGCGTGGGGCTCAGTGGGGCTCCTTCTGCCTCATGCACTGACTGAGCGTGGGCCTAGTGGGGCTCCTTCTCAGGGTCAACTCTGTAATACTCCAGTCTCACCTAAACCCCAGGATGTTCCCACTTGACAGTTGAGGAAACAGTCACAGAAAGGATGCCCCCAAGAGTCCCACAGCTCCAGACCAAGTGGGCAGCTGGAATTGACCTGCTGGACATGGTGCCACTCTGCTGGGGTCTGAGGGGGCAAGACTGGGCCCCTCATCCAGGGTCCTCACCCGCGGCCCCCACTGTGGGTTCCCGCCCAGGGTCCCCGTGGCCAGTTCCCAGTGAGCTCTCTGTGCCCCAGGGCAGACCTGAGCCTTATCCTCTCCCAGCCAACAGCCTGGGGGGCCCGGCATGCAAGCTTCCACAGTAATTTCAGGAGGGTCCTGTCCTCAGTCAGCACATCGGAAGGCTGGTAAGGTGGGCATTCTGTCCCTAGCAGCTCGGGGTACACCAGGACATTATATTCCATCACGGTCCATATGTCCTGGGGCCAGCTACAAGGGTGAAAGCAGGAGGCGTCCCAAAGGCTGTGGCTGCAGCAGGACCCGGAAAAATGTCCTCGCTGTCCATTTTGGACAGTGCTGGGCCCTGAGAACACAGAGGAAAGGAATCCCTCTGTTTGGAGTGGCTATTCCCACTGAGACATTGAGAAGATGTGCAGCCACAGGGGAGGAACAGAAGGGGAGTGGGCATGGCAGGGGGTGTGGCAGGAGGTCCCTAGGAGCCCCACTCCCAGCCAGGACACCCTGGGGGAGGGGTTGCAGGAAGGGTGCCTAAGTTGAGTGCAGGACCACCAAGGCCTGGAGGAGCCAGTGACACACAGCGAGGAGCAGAGGGAGCATGGGGGAGACAAGGCCTGGTCGTGGGGTCTCCACGGAGTCTCATTTGGTGATGCTCCAGGAGGCAAGAGCCACGGGGCAGGCTTGGGGGTCTTAACAGATCCAGTTGGCCGCGATGGGGGCAACCAGGGCAGAGCTGGAGACAGGGCCTGGTGTCTCCAGCAAGTCTCAACACAGACCCCCATGACAGGCATGCTGGAGGCCAGCAGGCATGGTGATATAGGGGAGCCTCTGCCAGCTGTCCCCACGCAGGTATGGACTTGAGTGGCCAGAGCTTCCAGCTTTTCAGGAGATGAAAGAAACTCAGGTGTTCTTGTGAAATATCCTGATAAATGTTAATAACTATTGTGGAGTCTGAAGTCATGGGGTGGGTGGCCGGTGCATGGCCCCAGAAGGCAGGTCTGTCCCCAGGGACCCTTCCGGCTGGGGCATCTGGCCTGGCCCTCTGGATGCCCCAGTAAGGACTTGAGAAGCAGGCTGCCTGCCTGGAGTCTCCACACCATGTGTTTGGGTGACCCTTGGGCCTGGGCTTCTTCCTACCTGCACACTGCCCACCTCTGTCCACCTTCATCTTGCTCCCATAGCCTGAGGCCTGGGCAGTCTGCACTGCCCACCCACAGAGGGTGGAGGCTGGACGCACACTGGCTTTCAGCCTCTCCACTGACCTTCCTTTTCTGTCCCTCCTCCTCCTCCTCCCCAAGTCCAGCCCCCAACCCTGCAGGACAGGAGGCCATCCCCTGGACAGAGGGAGAAGGGAGGCCAGTGGGCGGAGCAGGAGGTGGGCCCTGGGGCCTCTGGGGTCCTAAAGAATGCCAGACGGGGCAGGAAAAGGGTCTGAAGTACCCAACTGTCACAGGAGTCAAAGGCCTGAGCTGAGGGTCTTCTGTGCCCCCGGGAGCTGCTCCTCTTCAGCCTGGGGAACACACATTCCCCACTAGGCCCAGGGGGGATGCTGGCCGTGTCCCTCACAGTCCTGGGAAGAGGAAGGAGCCAACATACACAAGGGCCTGCTGCAGCCAGGCACCCAGCCCAGCCATTCGCTGAAAATAATGACAACTCAGGGTGTCTTAGTAGCAGTGAAACTAAGCCCCAGGGAGGGGGAAATACACTTGCCCAAGGTCACACAGTGAGTTAGGGACCCAGCCAGGAGTCACTCATTCACTCTTTGTCCATTTCTTCATGCAGCAGGCACTGCTGGCATACCTCCTGTGTGCCGGCCACTTGGATTTCTGGGACTCAGGGGTTGGACTCAGGCCCTGTAGCCTCTGGCCCTGTCACATTTCCAGCCTCATTTTCTCCTGTCCGGCGCCCCCGCACTGCTCCTTTCCCACCCCAGGTCACCAGGCTCCAGCCACTGGACCTTCAGAACACACCAGTCTCCTTCCCATCTCAGGGACTTTGCACATGCTGTTCTGTCTGCCTGGGGTTTCTTCCTGCAGGACTTTGCAAGAGTCTGCTCCGTGAACCTCAACAAACAGCCCTTGCCCCAGGCTTTCTACTTTTTGTTGGGGTATTTGCTCTCTTGTTTAACCTCTGTCTCCTCATCTAGAACAGAAGTTCTGAGAGCAGAATGAAACACCTACAATAGTGCCTGGCACAGAGTATGTGCTCAGTTAATATTTGCCAACAGCTTGGGTGAGAGCTCAGAGACTTTGTTCTTGCCATGCAGCCCCAGAGCACTTTGGGTCTGGAGTCCTCTTTTAACAGATGGGGAAATCGAGGCTCAGAGAGAGACAGAGGCTGCCTGAGATCATAAAGGCCCAGTGCTCTCCTGCCTCCGCTGAGGTCCCCAGGTCTCCAGGACATACAGCCAATTCCTCCTCAGATGTCTGGTCCCATTGCAGAAACCAGCACACAAGACCCAAAGGGGCTGCCATGCCCCAGGAAATCAGCAGAGGGGCATTTGGACCCAGGTGGGTCCGCCGTACACCTGTGCGCATCCCTCACCACCCTCCAAGGGGACAGCGGACCACTGTGCACATGGAAGTGGCAGGATCAGCACCTGAAGTCCCTGCTTACCCTAAGCCTCAGAGCCCAGGCCTTGGGGGGCTCTAGCCCTCATCCCCCAGATGCTCAAAGGGCCTCCCCACCTCCTGGGGTCTGACAGGGCCCTAGAATCCAAGCCCCTGTGAGCAGCTAGTCCAGGTGCTTGGCATCTAGGAAGGAGGGTGGGCTCACCTCCCCAAGAGCCACTGCAATGTTTCTACAGATGAGCTCTCTCTGAATGATCCTTCTGGGAGGCCCAGCTGGCAACAGAGGGTGGCTGCACTATGGACCCCCCACCGCCCATTCCTTTCAGTCACCTCCCCCTCCTCATGGGGTCTCCAAGGGGCTCTTCGTGGTCCCAGAGGGCTCCAGGTGGTCACAAGGTGTTCCACGTGGTCTTGAGGGCCCCAGGCAGTCCCTGAGGGACTCCGGGGGTCCTAGGAGGCTCCAGGTGGTCCTGAGGGGTTCCAGGTGTTTCTGAGGGCCCCAGGGATTCTTTAGGGTCTCCAGTTTGTCTCAGGGGGCCCCGGATGGTCCCCAGGGGCTCCAGATGGTCCTTGTGAGGCTCCAGGTGTCCCCTGGGGGCTCCAGGTATTCCTAAGTCCTCCAAGTGATCTGAGGAGCTCCAGATGGTCCCAAGGCAACCAGCTGTGACAAGAGGCCAGGCTGCTCCCTGGTCATATACCCTCCCACACCCACCACTGCCCCCCATTTACAAAAGAGAAAACTGAGAGAGAAAAAGGGCCAGAGAAGTAAGTGGGGCTAGGACAGGCCATGGGGAGCAGCCAGGTTCCCACCCTACATTCTGCACATTCCGTCCTAGAAAGCTGGCCTCCCCCGCCCTCCTGGCCACAAGGCCCACCAGGCCTGGTCTTGCTGACCCAACAAATTTCTGGGCTTGGTGCCGTGCTCACAGGTGCAAAGCTCTGATGGAGGCCCTTGCAGCCCCAGGAAGCCACTGTCCCATGGCACCCGCGCCATCTCGCAGCCTGCAGATTTCTTTCCCTCAAAGCCCAGGTGTGCTCAAGCCGTTGTCTGCTGGGCCTCAGTGGCCCCCCCCAC